TAAAAAACGATGCGGCTTAAATGTGTTTTCAGTGTATTTTGTCGTACCGTGTATCGAAGAAGGGATACTCTCAAACAGATATGTTGTTTTCTTTCCGAACTCTTTATTTAGCAATTACAAATTTTATTTAAACTTTTTCTATTTTCATTTGTAGTTTTATCGCATGAAACACTTCGAATCGATACATGGAATTAATAAACTCAGACTTTCACTAGAAAACATACGAATTTTTCTTTATGATAAATTAAGGTTTAAACCTTAATGTTCTAATCTCAACGAAAAAAAGATATTTCGACATGAGTACAATGACATCATAGAGCTAGAATCGGTTGAGAAACGGTAAACCGACTCGGTCCGGTTGGCTGAAATTATAACTCAAACCAATGAACGAATGGCGAAAAACTGGTGAAGCTTTTTGCAAATCGATTTTCAGAAATGAAATAGTTTGCGAACACATGTGAAAGAACTTTCACAATAATGAGTCTTTAGCACTTAACCTTAAAACAAGTGATGAAAATAATATCTGTCGTGAACATCATCTTATTTATTTTGACTGAAAAAGACGTGAAATTTTAGTTTTTTGACAAAAGTTTCAACCGGCGAAATATCGATTTCTACCGACCTAGCTGATCTTTTCAAGCGACTCGGTCCTCTCTGGTACCGGACCGGTTCCAGCTCAGCCACATTATCATTAATTCTAATGAATGAACACAAGAATATGCCATAAGACCATATCAACATAAATAAAACCATAGAGGTACTGAACGAGAAAAATCAACTAAACGCGCAAAATTAAGCCATTCAAGAAATTCATCGTATAAATTCCATGACAGAGTATTATAATATTGTACACATAATAATGTATCAATTTTTGGTTCAGAAGAATTACTGAAATAGCTTCTCTAATTTGCCCTTGTGTCATACTTTTATTATTTGACGAACAACATCTCGAACAGGTAATTTAAGACGAGTAGTACCATTACGTTGATTATGCTTAAGGGATTCAGGTTAAAAGACCATACGTTTGTCTTCAGATTATTTGATTTTAATTGATAACGATCAACAGACTATTTTCTATATTCTCTACAACGATATGTGGTAGATTCGCGGGCTTGAAAATACTCGGTGCGATGAGTAGAGACTTTATTTCCTTTTATGAAAGTTTCGATCACACTTTCAGATGTAGAGAATTTTCCGAACTCATTTATTACAACCGAGCTCATTTCTCTCGTTATAAAACCAATTAAATGCACCGAACTCAAATATATCTTTTTCCTGAGCTCATTTATTAGTTTATCCTTGAAAGTACATGATAAACGAGCTTTGTAATTAGTCCTATAATTTATCTATCATAAATAATTATACTAATTTTTATGTAAATGTTGTATGTTCGAGAAATCAGGAAAAAGAATATGCGAAGACGTGTCGTATAAACAGAATCTCCTGTGTGTTGAAAACTTGAAACTACTGAACCTTTCATATCGATTGACAGTAACATTCGGATTCAACTACTGATAGTATCTTGTTTGCATTATCCAACTGTCTCTCACGCTTTCTAACTTCCAACTATCTATCAATATTCAGTTTTTGAAAAATTCTGAACTTCTTCAGTTAGTTCCACAGTTAGTGACAGAAGACTATTATTAGTCTGCATAGCATCAACTGGATTTTATCTCTTTCTTTCAGTGTCTCCATGTAGTTCTTACAGCTCTGCTTCTTCTGGTAGTTCGTTCTTTTATATCGAACAGATGGTTTTCGTTAACAGAATTGTTAAAAAACTGAAACTAAACTTTCAATTGTTGAACGAAACATATTACGTTTACATCGTTTCATATGAAACATCTCATCTCTCAACACTGTTGACTAATGTTGCCATTGAAAGTAAATGTTGAAATAAATGAATAAAATAGTGTGTTTAACGATTATTCCTTTTTATATTTACAATTTTGTTTTTCTATAAATATCTTGTATGGCAATTAAATATCGGTAGGTTTACAACCCACAATCATTACCAAGAACTAAAAACTTTGTATCTCATCGACGAACTACTGTAAGAAAGTCTGCGACGGCTTATTTGGTAGAACATACATTTGTGTACAAAACTGCCGACTCGAAAAAATTTGAGAAGGCTCCTTAGATTTGTAAAACTAATACTCTCGAGAGCCCCGATAAAATAACCGGTGCATGCCTACTGTTCGGCGTGGATAATTACTCTCTCTAAAAATACGTGCTGATCTATGTTCGTTCCATCACACGTGTCTCTACTCTGTAATATCTACTCTGTCTTCTGACTCATCGCGGAGTATACAGGCTTTGGTTAGTACGGCGATGGATGACCAAGTCTGAAGCCAAATTATAACCTGTATGAATTGGTCAATAGGGGTAGAACACACTATAGCAGTGCACAGGATGAGGAATTGAACACCTCAAGTTTACTTTTGATAATTTAGTTCAAAAGTGAAACTGACGCTTTAAGATTTATAGTTTTAGTGTTCGATTCCGATAACTGTGTAGTGTAATTCTGTGCTCTCATCAACGTTAAGAAAAAAATAAAATTCATTTAGAGTCGCTGAAAAGTGCTTTTTTATATCCAGCACACTCGATAACCTCGAAGATTTTCTACTTTTGGTGAGGGGTATTACCAAAGGACATTTTTCGATGTAGTACCAAATTTTCAAACAAAATGAAGAAAAAAAAATTCTATGGGATATTAATATTAGTTTCAAAATTTTTATTAAACAGTTCGCAATACCCCTCGATCAAAAATAGGAAATTTTCGAGATTATCGAGTGTGCTGAATACGAAAACGCATTTTCCAGCGACTCTAACTGAACCTTAGCTGCTTTCCTTCTCTTCTATCCGAGTCTCTATCTCAACAAATCGTCCAGTAAAAGAGGTCGATACTTGTGGGATGATCAGCATTCAGTGAGAGCTATGACCATACAAAATTAGAACTTCATAGCTATTATGGTTCTTGAGTTACAGGGGTATGGCTGCTTTTGCGGAGTACTGTAGAAGCAATTTATTCTATTTTTTTTGACGTTACTAATGATTATTCTTTCTGTGTCTTCTCTTCGTAATACATTTTCATATCAATAAGCAGGAAGACACAAGCTTTTTAGCATACGCCCGGTTAGCAATCAATAATTTTTCTACAAAGAGAACTTTTTTAAACATTTACTGTGTTGTCATTATAGTGACCTTACAGAAAAAAATTGGTCATTTCTCAAGCATGGTACTGTTATGCATCAATCAATTCATCTCTGGTATGTGTTCGGCACACTTTTGTTTTACACATCAAATCATTAATGCAAAACTTAATTGAAAGAAAACCGTGCAACCTCATGAAAAAAATATTGTAATCAAAACTATTTATTTCACTGTATTTTACATGGATTATTTTTTCTTGTTACTTTAAATGTATCTAAAGAATCCGATTGAGTATATATGTAGTTTTCACGTTTTTTTCAAATATAATTGATGATCTCACTATCAGTCGTTATCTTCAAACTGTAAAGAATAAAGAATAAAAATAAGAAATAGTCATGCTCCTATTCTTTTTCTTTTCACATTGGAGACTAGCAACACGTTACTATAATTCATTCTTTTTTTTAGACATAACCATATTATATTATTTTCTTTTCGACGTATAGAGACTATAGTCACAAATCATCTGTTAAAGTAAAGTCAAAAGTCATTTTGAATCTTTCTCTTGAATTTTTTTATCAGATTAGGTATAGTTTTAGTTTAATTTAACTTTAATTTTATTTATATAGAAGTAAATTAAGTTTATTTTCAACTTAGTGAAGCTGATACGTAGAGTGCTGTGAGATCGTTCTCCTGAAAAGGGATGTATCTTTATGATATAAGGAATAGGGTATCAATTTTTTTGATTACCAAAAAAAGATACTTTTGATCACCAAATTTTTCAGCATGCATCTTACATTTTTATTTCTCAACAAAGTATAATGTACAACACAAACATATTCATCGAGATTTTAACCAAATGAACAATATTTTTACAGTTTTATTTATATCTATTTAAAAAATTAAAAATTGTGTTAACTTTCTTGGGATGCCCGTTTGCTTTTCGTTTGTCTAATGGGATCGAATACGTGTTTTATCGCTAACTTGATACAAGTTAAATAAAATTGCTAATCCAACAGAATGTTTAAACGAATATACTAATAATGGTACAACAAGCTAACAGGATTCTTTCCACACCAGAAAACTATTAAATGCATCATTGGCTAGGTAATTATCGTTCTCATCGATGGGTTATATTCAATGGTTTTCTGGTGTGTAAACAATCCTGTTGGCTTGTTGTACCATTATCAGTATATTCGTGTAAACATTTTGTTGGATTAGCAATTTTATTTAACTTGTATCAAGTTAGCGATAAAACACGTATTCGATCCCATTAGACAAACGAAAAGCAAACGGGCATCCCAAGAAAGTTAACACAATTTTTAATTTTTTAAATAGATATAAATAAAACTGTAAAAATATTGTTCATTTGGTTAAAATCTCGATGAATATGTTTGTGTTGTACATTATACTTTGTTGAGAAATAAAAATGTAAGATGCATGCTGAAAAATTTGGTGATCACAAGTACATTTACTCTTAGGAATATAACTTAATGATTTAAATATCAGGACATATACTGACCATCGGTCGCACACTCATTTTCACCCTCATTGTAGCCATATCCTGCATATTCATCCCTTTCCAGGACAGTCATCTCATATCTTCGATTTTAAGTATAACTTGACAAAGATGTACTGTTTACTACATGATTGTTGGGATTAGAATTGATCTTGCAACAAAAATTACAAATTGTAACATCTAAGACGTTATATCGTTTCAACGATTCTTCAGAAGAAAAGAATAGAGCAATTTTTGTTTACTTTTTTTTCTTCTGATTACTGAAGCGTGTTCAGTAACCAGCGTCTGTCTTTCAGATAGAACAATGTCTCCTGGAATATTATTTTTATTTATAATGGGCTGCGTTATACTGGTAATTTTCGTATTTAGCCTTATATTTTGCACAATGGAAAAACGGCATAAATCCAAAATGAAAGTATTCAACCTCGTTCTCTTATCTTCTCTCCACACAAGTGTGTGTTTAATTTTAGAAATGTCAATCATATTCTGTGTCAGAACATATATCTATCCCGACAATTTCAGCGTCAACCACATCAACGAATGACGCGGTTCGTCTCTCACCCCCTTCGCCGCCAGTCACTCAAGAAATTCAAGTTGTCGATGAAACAAGGCCGACAACAGTCATTCTATCACCCGAACAATCTGTACCACCTCCCACAGTTCGTTATTCTCAACGACAACAGTCGAGTGAGATCGCTGATTTATCTTTAAGATTTTAAATCAAAATCTTTCCTTCATATTTTTAGACGCAATTATTCATCAATGTTCACACCTAGAACGACAAGAGATACCATCGTCTGTTTCCAATGTAATATTTATGGCACGACATGATGTTATACGTTTTTATCAATGTTTCGCATCTGAGCAAATTCAATTGGATCTACGTGATTGTGAAGTTGATGAAATTGAAGATTTAAGTTTAAATTTTGTCACTGATTATTCACAAGCGAATTTTGATGTTAAATTAAAATATTTCCGACATGAATTAACAGTGATCAAAGGTCGAATAGGTGATCATCCAAAAGTACCGATAAGAGTGAGAAGAAATAGAGTGTTTGATGATTCATTCAAAGAGTTGAAACAATTTTCAAAACAACAGTGGAAACAACGATTTGATATTGAATTTAGAGGTAGTTGTCAAATTGTCTTGAAATTATCAACTATTCTCCAAAATGTCATGTAGTTTCGTATAAAACGATTGTCTTCAAATCCCATCATAGTGAACGTACTTGATCCAAGTACTTTATTATTTGGTAAGTACTTGGAGCAATTGATAAGTATTTTAAAAAAACAACTACTTACCGAACACGAAGGACTTAGGGCCAGCACTTGCAGCTTTACTTAACAAATTCTTGTGATTTAAAGCAGGTAATTGCAAGTAAGGCAAGTACCGACTTTACTACTCAAACGAAGTGCTTGTTACAAGTACTTGGATCTTGATACATTCACTACGGACGCTATAGCTAAAGTTATTAAAACCTATTTTTCAATTAGCAAGCAAACACAACTAATTCTATAGCTGAATATGACTGACAACCGGCCTTTAGTATGAAAATCTTTCAACACTCTTTTTGTTATATTTCTTCTATCTCGAAAAATTCAGCTAAACAGTGCTTAAAGAGAAATGTTCTCACCTTTTGTTTCGCATGCAGATGAAATTTTAAAAATCGTTGCCTGTGATAGAGATAGCAAGTCTTGAGATCTTGCCACAAGGATTTCATACTTTCAATATTCAAAACCCAATTTGCGTACCGAGCCTTAATTAGTTTTCTCTGCTCTCTCTGAAATTAGTATCGGACCTGGTAAAATTGAGCAAAAAGATACAAGGTTAGGTGAATGTTACCTTTTTTCTGCATTTTCTACTAAGCTTAATGTAGTTTTGCTCAATGTCAAATAAGTCGACGCATAGATGAGTACGGAAAAGACATATCAAAATCTTTAATTGAGATAAATTCAAATTTATGTGATGATGAAATATATAAGAATACGAAAATAATTCGTGGCCGAGTTGATAAATCTTTACAAGATAACTAAGACACGGTTCACGTATAACTAAGATCGAAATAATTCGTATTGTGAACATTAACAATTCACGCTAAATAAGCATGTTTTACGACAGGAAGATTGTATTAATTTTAAAAATATCAGTATATTAGCCATGAATCATGAGCCTTATCTCTTGCTTGTAAGGGTATCATGGACGATTCGTGTCAATACACTATTGTTTAAAAGGATAGATTATGTCTCGCTATCGTATTTTCCGAAGGATCTTTACCAATTTCCCTTCATATTTAAAAACGAAAAGCAGATAAGTTCTTTCTTTTATTTTCGTTCCAAGTTAGTATATAAGTGTTCTCTATTCATTGTTTCTTCTCGAATAGCTAACTATTCTCTAAGCCGACCGGGTAAAACTCAAGGAGCCTTGTTCTTTTTCACTACAAAAAATTCTTCTTTTTTTCACACGCTTTTGGTTCTCAAGTCAGCCAACCGTTCTTAGCTATCCCTAATCGTAGGGATTTGGGACAAAGACCAATAGAAAGTCTAAGAGCTATAGATGACACATCTGAAATTAGTTTTTCGATGTATCTTTTGATTAATGTACTATATGGGAACCAAAACCTGAGCATATTTTCAAGGAATCTACCGTTTTCCTACGCGATATTTAGTGGTCACGTGACACTTCATATACATTACATGCTACTTATCAGTCTATATTTTCGTACGCGGGGGGGGCGGGGGGGGGGGGGGGGGGGGGGGGGGGGGGGGGGGGGGGGGGGGGGGGGGGGGGGGGGGGGGGGGGGGGGGGGGGGGGGG